CCCCCGGTCCATGTATTCCACCAGGATGGAGACGTGCAAAGCTCGTGCCAGGGCGATGATGTGGATGTGGTCGCTCTCCTTACACATGGGTTCCACCTCCTGCAAGGGGAAAAGGGGTCAGGGGGCCCTGTGAGGGGCACGAGAGGGCTTCGGGGGTGCACAAGTGCACTCGGGGACTGTGCAAGGGCCCGCAAAGCCGTGCAAAGCTGTGGGAGGGGCGTGCACAGATGACAAGGCCGCGTGAAGCCATGCAAGGTTCGTGTGAGGCCGTGCAAAGCTGGGTGGGGATCGTGCCAGGGCGATTGGGGGCTGAAAAAAGGCTGTGCGAGGCCGTGCAACCCTGCGTGAGGACCGTGCAAGGACCATCAGAGGTTGCGTGAAGCTGCACGAGGGCCACTGGAAGCCACGCAAGGGCAGTGTGAGGTTGTGTAAGACCATACAAGGGCCATGGGAGGCTCCACGAGACCGTGCAAGGACCACATGAAGGTGCTGCGAGGCGGTGTGAGGCCGTGCAAGTGCAGCGTGAGGCTGTGCAAGACCGTGCCCGGGCCATCGGAGGCTGTGCGAGGCCCAAGCGAAGGCGCGTGAGCGTGCCGGAGGCGGCGCGCAGCCCCGGCGAGGCCCTGACCTGTTGGCAGAACTCCTTGATGCTGCGGCCGCCCTCCAGGAACTGCTCGAAGAAGCGGCGGTGGCGCTGGAGGCAGCCCGAGGTGAGCAGGCGCAGGTAGACCACCAGGTAGTCGGAGGTGCTGGGCTCGTTGAAGGCCGCCAGCAGCTCCGGCAGTGGCACGCGGCGCTCCCCCCGCTCAATCAGCTCCATGAACTGCAGGAACACGCGTGTCAGGGGGGCACATGCGTGTCAGGGGGGCACACGCAGGGCGACAGGGACCGTCACAGGTGCCATCATGGGGGTGACAGACGCCCTCACAGGGGCACACGCACGTCAGGGGGCGCAGGCGGGGGGACATGCCACGTCACCAGGGCACACATGCCATCATGGGGTCACACGCACCATCGCACGCGGGGTCACAGGCACCATGTCCCCCCCCTCCCTCCGCATCCTCCCGTGTCCCCACCGTGTTGTGGAAGTCCTCGATGGTGAATTCGGTGAACCCCTGTGCCACCAGCTCCTCCTTGCTGCGGGCAGACACCTCCTTGAACCTGAGGGGGACACACACATGTCTGGGGGGGACACGGGCTTCCGGGGGGCCCAGGGGGTGGCAAGAGGGATCCAGAGGACTTGTGGGGGGAACACCCTGGTGTCCAGGGGGGATCCAGGCATCCCGGGGGGGATCAGGGGGCAAGGGGGACCACAGGGCTTGGGGGGAGCCACCCAGGGGGGCACATGGGTGTCCGGGTGAGGAACCTGGGGGGACCACGAGGGACGCAGAGGAGTTGGAGGGGGGGACACCGGGGTGTGCGCACCGCTGCAGCTCCTGCCCGTCCTCCAGCAGAGCCTCCAGGTGGGCGAAGCCAAAGGCGCGGTAGAAGCAGTTCCCGTCCGGCCGCGTCTTCCGGATGTAGGAATACTTCTGGAGCAGGTCCTGGGGGAGGGAAGGACATCCCGGGGGGACACGGTGCCCTTTAAGGCTCCCAGTCCCATACTGGTGCCCAACAGCTGCTCCCAGTTCCACGCTGGTGCCCACCTTGATCTTCTGCTGGTAGATGTGGTCGTCCTCGGCGTACTCCTTATACAGCACTGCCAGCTCCAGCTGCTCTGACACCAGTGGGTTCTGCACTGCGATCTGCACCGGGGGTGTGTGTCAGGACTGAGGGACCCCCGGGGAGAAGGGAGCGACTTGGGGCCCCCTTGAGGGGGCACGGGGGGGGTGTCTCACCTCTTGCTGGATCCGGTCCTGCTGTGCCATGATGGCTTCGTCATAGGCCAGGCAGTTCACGCCTGGGGGGACATCAGGGTTCAGGGGGGCTATCAGGGTTTGGGGGGGAACCCACACTGCACACAGCCCCCCCCCAGGGAGTGGGGTGGGCACCCCTAAAATGTCTTCTGGAGTGCTGGGGAGCAGGATGTAGGAGAGCTGCCTCTTTAGGGCATACTAGGGTGCTGGGGGAGGCTATGGAGGTATGGGATGCTGGGCAGGGGGCTGTCGGGGTGGTGTTGGGGTGCTATGGGGGGTATTGGGGTGCTATAGGGACTCTATAGTCAGTATTAGCGTATTGCGAGAGGTCTGCAGAGGTATTAAGGTGCTACAGGTGACCCATAAGGTGGTATTGGTGTGGTATTGCAGAGACCTATAGGGGTAATAGGGAGCTACAGGGAGCCTATGGGGGTTATTGAGGGGCCGGGGGGACACTGGGG